CAGCATGGGGAAACCCCCGCACGCACCTGCGCTGGGGCCGACTCACCCCTCCTCCAGGGCCGACTCACCCCTCCTCCAGGGCCGACACCCCCTCCTGCAGTGTGCCGAGCACACCACAGACCTGTGGGAGTGGAGCAGTGAGCAGACTTCTGGAACCCCCGGAAGTGGGGTGAAGCTGCAGGACTTCCTTCCACCCCGTGGGAAGCCGGCACTACCTCCATTGTTGCTGGAGGTAGGTAGTGGGGCTTCTCGGGGGTCGGAGGAAAATGCAGGGGGGCCCGAACACCTTGTGATCGACTGGTCGGTGACCACAGATCTAGACCATTCCTGATATATGTCTCTCTAACCTGCTCTTAAATATCTCCAGAGATGGAGATTCTACAACCTCTCTAGGCAACTTATTGCAGGGTTTAACCATGCTGACAGTTTTCCTAATGTCCAGCCTAAACCTCCCTTGTTGCAGTTTAAGCCCATTGCTTCTTGTCCTATCCTCAGAGGCCAAGGAGAACAACTTTCTCTCCTCCTCCCTGTGACACCCTTTAGATACCTGAAAACTGCTATACTGTCTCCACTCAGTCTTCTCCTTTCCAAGCTAAACAAGCCCAGTTCTTTCAGTCTTCCTTTATAGGCCATGGTCTCTAGATCTTTATTCATTCTTGTTGCTCTACTTTGGACCTTCTCCAATTTCTCAACATCTTTCTTGAAATGTGGTGCTGAGTAGTAGACACAATACTTCAATTGAGGCCCAATCAGCTCAGAGTAGAGCAAAAGAATGACTTCTCATGTCTTGCTCTCAACACTCCTGTTAATGCAGCCCAGACTCATGTTTGCTTTTTTTGCAACAGTCACACACTGTTGACTCAAATTTAGCTTGTAGTCCACTATGATCCCTAGATCCCCTAGACAGTTGCTTCCCATTCTGTACGTGTGAATCAGATTTTCCTTCCTAAGTAGAGTACTTTGCATTTGTCCTTATTAAACTTTATCCTATTTACCTCAGACCATTTCTCCAGTTTATCCAGATCATTTTGAATTATGACCCTATTCTCCAAAGCAGTTGCAACCCTTCTCAGCTTTGTGTACCCTCTGCAAACTTAATAAGAGTATTCTCTGTGCCAATATGTAAATCGTTCTTGCTTCTGTATTGGGGCAACTTCCTACTCCCTCAGCTTTCTGAAGATGAATCCTTCCTGTGCTGTCAGACGTTTCTTAGTGCAGAAACAGTATTTCATCATCCCTGTCTATCCTGGGCTGCTTTTTGCATGCCCTCTGTACTGTGAAGCCCCATAAAGTTTTCCTTTTCAGAATACTATTTGATGAAGGGATTTTGTCAACCCCTTTTGCATGTTCCTCTAGCTGCCCTATGGCATATCTGCTAGTGCAGATGCTTTGGGGTTTTTTCATACCTCATTTCCCAGTAACTTTTTTTACACTTCTTTTTTCCTTGCCAAAGAAATCCCTTGCTTAATTTAATATCAATAATGTAATTCAATTTCAGAACTGGATGCCTTAGGTGATGAACTTTTAGTTGATGAAGACAGCTCCTATTTAGATGAGGCTGCATCTGCTCCAGCAATTCCAGAAGGCACTCCTACAGACGCAAAAAACAAGGTGGTCCTTTTTCCCTCTCATTTAGTAATTGTACAGTAAAATTTGTTCAGTCACCACAAAACTGATAAAGCTGTTGCTTCATGGAAGCCTTAAAGGTGGAGCAAAATTGAGCTTAGTATGCTTCAGGAGGCCTACTTTACAAACTAATATTGCGTTTCTGTGGTGGTAAATCTATTTTTCCCCGTAAGATAGCAACTGTGGTTAGCTGAAAGGGCTATCGTATCATTTTATATGTTTTTTGCAAGTAAATCTGAGTATTTGCATTTCAAGCATTTCTCATGCTTTTCTAACTTTTGTACATGGCTTTTGTATGTAAGTATGTGTCATGTCAGCTGACTGTTAAATTTTCACTTTTTTGGGCTATAACAAAATTGGTAAGTGATATTGGCGGCAGAAAATACTGATGCTCCTATTTGGTTTTGTAACTCCCAGCTTTAAAGGAATCTTAGATTGATACATAATTTATTCTTTTTCCCCCCATAGGATGGTATATTGGTGGATGAATTTGGACTGCCACAGATCCCTGCTACATAAACATGCATTTCTAGAGCACATTGGAAATGGCAGGTTACTACTTATAAATCAGATTAGCAAAACACTTTTTTAAATCCTGGAAAACTTGCCTTTTCAGTATAATATTAATATCACTACATCTTAAAATGCAGTACGAATGGCTCATGGTGTTTCTCTTCCTCGAAGAAAGTTGATATACTACTGACTTGTATATTGAAGGAGAACATTTGGCACAATTACTTCAGCAGATGGATTCAGTTTGCTAGGTTTTGATTCCCTTATCTTTTATGGAAGAAGTAATACATGAACAGTAGTGGTGGCTGTTAATAGTTGAGCTTTCTTTTGATTTGTAATATTTGTTTTCTGAAAAAAAACTAAGGCTATGTGACTGCTTACCTTCTGTAAGATAGCTTCCTTCTTACTGTACTGATTTGATAACAAATGGATGCTTTTTTAAAAACATTTCAGTTCAGAAACTTTCTTGATAATGTATTTGTAACTCTTAATTACAGCTGTAATAAACACATATAAAGGTTATCTTTAACCTTATGACATAAGCTATGCTATGGTATACACTTTTATCCTTTCGTGTGGTGTTTTTAGTGGTAGTTTTAACCTGTCCCTTGTCTCCATTAGTGCCATTCAACATTTGAGCATGGGCCCTCCCTTAACATGCTTGGTCTAAAACTTGAAATTGGTCATGATCATCTTCTCTAGCCTTTCATGTATTTCCCTCTTAGATTTACAAAATAACATTTCTGTAAGACCATTGCTAGTGCTGTGCTTTTCTTCTTGTCACTAGTCAGGGCATTACTGCTTTCTCTCTGACCACCATTGCTCTGTAGATTTTCTATGACCGTTTTTTTGCTGGACAAGATCACCATCTCCCTTCTTTTGGACCCATTGGCCAGAAGAGTGAGAATACTCCCAAACTTGGGTCTCTTCTACTGAAGATTGTATTGCCAGATCTTGTAGCAGACTCTTTCAGAACTGTCTGTGGCCCAAATCGTTTTCCATTTTTATCAGGAATGAAGTGTACAAATGTTGTACAGAAACTGAAAGTTATTTATGATTAATAAAGATATTTTTCCAATACATTTTTAGAATACATCCCTCCTTAATTGTAATCAGCAGTATGGTTAGAAGAAGAAAGCATATTCATATGTAATCAAAAATACAAAATAATTTACTTGTAATTTTAGTTCTTGCTAGTACGTTTTTCTTCAGCTTAAGAAGCTAGATGTTGTTAATAAAAAGTCCTAGAACTGTTAGCTGGTTGCAAACAGAGAGGCCTCAATTAGTAGACTTGTTCGTTGGAGAAATGTTGCCTGGAAAATAGTTTACACATGTGGTGCTTTCTTCCCATAAAAGAAACTGACGGCAAAGAAAAGAATTAGTTGCAGTACACATACCGTTCCTAAATCTAAGTGGTGATGAACATAGCTAAGTAACCAGTATAAAGCATAACTTAAAACTGTAAAATGTAAAATTTCCAAGATAATAATGATGGAAACTGGCTTTTAGATGAAATTATTTTGGACATGTATACAGCATTTTATGTAAATCATCTTTTATTAATTTAATTTACAGGAATTTAAATAAAACATTGTATTACAGGATTGATATTTTTAAACTACCCAGTGTGAAATCAAATATTTTACACAGATTGTGAGGTGATGACAAAAATTAGATATTTCCAAATCAGTGTAAATCTGTACTCTTGTCACATTAGTTGTTGGATAACCCTAGTTTATTGTGCGTAAGAACTATGTGGGGAGGGGAAAGCAAATAGTTTCATAGAATAATGCCCTTTGGATGTGTTTGGAGATTTTCTAAGTCCTTGAGACTTAAATCATAAATTAGAGAAAGGAAAGAGATATTAGGCCATAGAACCCATCTTCCCCCAATAGAGGACTCATGGGACAATAAATTGAAATTACAGGCAGTCCCCGAGTTATGCGGATCCGACTTATGTCGGATCCGCAGTTACGAACGGGGTTTGCTGCCCATCTCCCTGGTCTGCTAGAGACCCGCAGACCAGGGAGACGGGGAGCAAAGGCGCAGAACACGCCGGCAGCGGGACAGCCGCAGCGCGTCTGGGCTGTCCGCTACCCGCGTGCTCCGTGGCTTTGCTCCACGTCTCCCTGGTCTGCTGGTCGGGGGAGACGTGGAGCAAAGCCGCAGAGGACCCGGGCGGTGGGACCGCGGTGCGTCTCAATCCCCTGCCCGCGTCTCCCTGATTTGCTGGGGGGGGAACGCAGCTAGTACCCCCCCGCCCCCAGCAGTCCAGGCTTTTCTCCGGACGCCTGTGGTAGAGCAGCTGAGGTGCTGCCAGTTGGTCCTGCAGGGCTGCTCTGGGCACTACTGGACCAACCCGGCAGCCCCCCAGCTGCTCTGCCCCAGGCGTCCCCAAGTCAGCTGCTGCTGAAACTGACCAGCGCTGACTACAGGAAGCCCAAGGCAGAGTTGTTCTGCCCCGGGCTTCCTGGAATCAGCCTCTGATCAGTTTCAACAGGCTGAATCTGGACGCCAGTTCCGACTTACATATTCAACTTAAGAACCCCAGGCGTCCCCAAGTCAGCTGCTGCTGAAACTGACCAGCGCTGACTACAGGAAGCCCAAGGCAGAGTTGTTCTGCCCCGGGCTTCCTGGAATCAGCCTCTGATCAGTTTCAACAGGCTGAATCTGGACGCCAGTTCCGACTTACATATTCAACTTAAGAACCCCAGGCGTCCCCAAGTCAGCTGCTGCTGAAACTGACCAGCGCTGACTACAGGAAGCCCAAGGCAGAGTTGTTCTGCCCCGGGCTTCCTGGAATCAGCCTCTGATCAGTTTCAACAGGCTGAATCTGGACGCCAGTTCCGACTTACATACAGATTCAACATAAAAACAAACCTACAGTCCCTATCTTGTATGTAACCCGGGGACTGCCTGTATATATGATTGTTAGCTAAATATCCAATAATAATTTTTTACAGCCAGCAGATGGCAGACTTCTATTTAAGAGGCATTTTAGAAAGCATGGGACTCTGCAGAATTGAGAACTTACTAGTTTTGAAGTTAATAAACTAGAGTTGCTCTAACAATATAAAAACAATGAATATTTTGATGGAAAAACAATTCCAACAGAATGTTTAATTTTTGACCAGCTCTATTCATTACCATATTTATTACTAGAAGATTTACCAGGTGTTGTTTGGGTCTTCAACTCAAAGGTTTTTTTTTTTTATTATTTACATTCTTGTTCTGCGGTGGGGCTGGGAATGAGGGGCTCAGTATGCAGGGAGAGAGGACAGCTCTAGTCCTTTAACTACAGGAGCCTGGTGCCAGGTGGGAACTACCTGTCCATGGTTGTTGAGCAGCCACAGCCGAGGGAGGGGTGTATGTTCCCCAGCAGAGACACAGACACACAAGTAAACTCTCTGAAATATATAATAGTATTCCTTTCTCCACCTTTGCCCCTTACTGGCCCTATATAGTTATTGCTGGCCCCTCTCTGGCCCCTTCCTGCCTCTCTGTAGTCATTCTAAGGCAGGGCAGGGCAAGGCAAGATGCATACCGCAGGCCGAATCTGGCCAGCCTAACACTGAAATCTGGCCCACGGGCTGCATCTGGCCACTTTCTTTTAATATCCTGCTGCTCATGCCACTGAATTTCCAGGCAGTGGCAGAGGCAGCAGGATCCTACTTAAATGGCTCACTGTCGTGGCACTACACCCGCAGGGACTCGAGCCATGAGTCCTTTAAATAGCCACAGCAACTCCAGGTGGCTGTCAGGCAATGGGGTAGCAGCAGGACTAGGAGCTGTGTGCCCTTTGCTGTGTTTTTAATTCAAAGCCTCAGACAACTCTAGGGGGATGCTAGTTCCTAGCCCTACCCATTCCACTGGTGGATCTGGCCAGTGATCACATACCAAAATTCATTAAATGCCCCCCCAGCCTCCTGCAAAAATTGTCCCCCCACCCTCTCCGTTCCAAGGTATAACTCTCCCTCCTAATAAAAAAAAGGGAGGGGGCTGGTGGGAAGGATCAACCAAACTTTTACCTTGCTTTAAATTATGATGAGAGGAAGCTGCATACCAAATTTGGTGGTTCTAATTTTTTGGCTACATCTACACTGCCCTCTTGTGCAAAAAAATTGTAAATGAGGCAAAGTGTGGAATATCACTGTGCCTCATTTGCATAATGAATGATGCTCCATTTTTGCGCAAGAGGCTTTTGTGCAGAAAGGAGCTGTCTTCGTGGCTCCCTTTTGGGCAAAAACTCACTCGTGCGCAAGAGCCAGTCTTCCTGAAAAAATGCGGTTTTTGCTGGTTGTATCTAGTGTATTTCCTATAAATGCTGCAGGATCAGACTGCTTGGTGTTTTTCAGCAAGTATCCATTTGTTGTAGTTTTAGTTGTGAAATACTAATGGCAACATCATTTTCCCCCCTGTTGCTATGAAAACTACACCTAGTGGTGTAATCAGATTTCAATTACTGTTGTTACTACAAAGTATTTTTCTTGTCTGTTTATTTTGGAGCTGTTCAAAATAATGAAAGTGCCTGTTTCTTCTTGGCAGCAATAAATAAAAGTGTAAAATTACATATTCCTGCCAATTTTTATAGAGCTCTCAATTTTCAAACTTACTAATGTATAATTTAGTACCTTTTCCCTCTCCTAGGCAGGTATATCTCTGCCTCCCTAAGACAGTGACTCTCTAGAACATTTTTAGAAAATAGTTGGTTTCTATTTCTGAGCATTTTTCCATTTTTATTATTATAGTAAACTCTGCATATAAGGCTTAGACAAATTCTGTGGTTACAACTTACATGAATTAAATGTCTTCTGTGCCTGAAATGCAAAAAAAAAACAAAACAACCCCCCCTCCCCCCACCTACTAGAGCATGTTCCCAACAGCTTTGTGTTCAGGGATGTTAAAATTAATCAACTGGTTGAATAGTCAATGGACTTTCTTCGACTATTCCATTAGTGGATAAAGACGCTTCCCTTTTGAAATGTAGCAAAAGCTCCTGCTGGCCCCAGGCTCCATGTGGTGCTTCCGCTTTGAAATGTATAAGAGCCCCAGTAGGACTCTTGTACATTTCAAAGGTGGAACACTTGTTCCCATGGTGCTGGAGCGAACTGGCTTTTAAGCCAATTCCCCCAACGCCCCTCCTCCTCTTCTCCCTCGTTACCTCTTTGAGATAGAGGTAGCAAAGGGGGGGGGGGAGCAGAGGAGCGATTACTTTAAGTTGACCAGTGTGGCTCCTGTCTGATAAGCTTTTGCTTATCACATCGTGGATTAGTCCCATCTCTACCGCGTTCGCAGACTGCAATGACTGTAGGAGGCCACTTCTAAAAGAGAACATTTGAGCGGGAGCTCAGGGAGCAAAGCCCGAGCATTCCCAGGGTGCATCAGGCAGCCCCCGAAAGGCCTCTGCGCCGGGGGTCCCCTAGAATCCCGGCGCCTCCCTTCCCAGGGCACCAGGGGCGGGGCCCGAGGGCGGCTGGCCGGGTTACTCCCTTCCGGTGTTTCCAGCAGCGGCTTCCGGTGTTCCCCCGTGGGGTGCCCGGGCTGTTTCCGGCAGGCCCGGAAGGGAAGCGCTTGGCGGGGCGGAGATGGCGGCGCCCGCGGTACCGGTCACCGTGACCGTCAGTTACAGTAAGAGGCGCCCGGCCTGTGTCACTGGGGATCCCCCGGCGCGGCCACTGTCCCGCCCGGCTCCATGGGGAAAGGCGGGATCCGCCTTCGTGGCCGGGAGGGGGAGCGCGGCCCCGGCGGCCTCCCCGGCAGGTGGGGCCCGGCGTTGCCCTTTCCCCGGGATTTGGAGCCAGGAGCTCCGCGCCCCCAAGCTAAGGTGCCCCCTGCGCCCGCCCGACTCCGCGTGCGCCGTGCCCGTGCGGTGCCGCTGCGCCTACCGCTCTGTGCTTAGCAAACAACCAGCTCCTCGATCCCAGAAAGGCTCCGAGCCAGCCACAAAAATCTCGCTTTGCCCTGCCTTGATAGCATGAGTGTAGTCACAGAAGCCCAAATATGAAGCAAAATGCAGGACAATGTAGCACTTTAAAGACTAACAAGATGGTTTATTAGATGATGAGCTTTCATCAAATAGTGGAAGAAAGTAGTCACAACCATATATACCAAAGGATACAATTTAAAAAAATGAACAAATATGAAAAGGACAAATCACATTGCAGAACAGAAGGGGGATGCGGGGGGGTGGGAAGGGGGAGGAAGGAAGGTAAGTGTCTGTGAATTGCTGATATTAAAGGTAGGGAGAGTGGGATGTTTGTGAGTTAATGGTATTACAGGTGATAATTGGGGAAACTGTCTTGGTAATGGGTGAGAAAGTTCAAAGACTTGTTAAGTCCTTGTTGGTAAGTGTCGAATTTTAACATGAATGACAGTTCAGAGGATTCCCTTTCAAGTGCAGATGTAAAAGGTCTTTGTAGCAGAATGCAGGTGGCTAAGTCATTTAGAGAGTGTCCTTTCTGGTTAAAGTGGCAAGAAACTGTTTTCTCTTTGTGATCTTGTCTGATATCTGTTTTGTGGGCATTAATCCTTTGGCGAAGTGTCTGAGATGTTTGTCCAATGTACATAGCAGACGGACACTTTCGGCACATGATAGCATAGATTATATTTCTGGATGCGCAGGAATATGTGTTCTTGATCTTATAACTCACTTGGTTGGGTCCAATAATGGTATCAGCAGAATGAATATGTGGACAAAGCTGGCAACGGGGTTTGTTGCAAGGGAAGGTACCAGGGTTGGTATTAGTGTGGTATGTCCTGTGGTGGTTGGTAAGAATGATCTTGAGGTTAGGTGGTTGTCTGTAGGAGACTATGGGTCTGTCTCCCAGAGGCTCTTTGAGTATGGTATCCTGTTCCAATATAGGCTGTAGTTTCTTGATAATGTGTTGGACAGGTTTAAGTTGGGGGTTGTAGGTGATGACAAGTGGTGTTCTATTGTTGGTTTTCTTGGGTCTGTCTTGAAGTAGATGGTTTCTAGGTATTCGTCTGGCTCTTTCAATTTGCTTTTTTATCCCAAATACGGGATCGTGGTCTCCTTGGGCTGGGGCTTTATAATCAAGGAGGAAGAGAGAATCCCTGTAATAACGATCTGAAACTACTAATTACTCAACATAGTAATCGGTCCTGCAGTTGGGTCCCTGCCGTACACTCCTCTGCTCATGAGGAACCAAACTAAACTCAACATAGGTAATATGGGAGTCAGTGCTCTCTTTTTTTCCTGCGTATATGCCCAAACTGACACAAAATCAAGGTATTTTTTTGAAAACTTGTCGATAGTTTTGATTTATTTGCTAAATACAGGAAAGTGGTACAGGATGCCCTCACCATTCACAATAGATGCATTTCTGGCACCACCATGAATGGTGATATTTGTGAATACTGGGGCCCATGGTTCCCAGCTGCTGCAGTGAACTCACCTTGGGAGCTGCGATGAGACTTCCCATGACTCCTGAAATCACTACAGTTCTCAGCCTTCCCCTCCTCCCCTATCCCATCCCGCCCCCAGGCCAGGATGGGAGAGACTTACAAACATGGAATTGCAAGAGTCTACTGTATGGCCTTGTGGACTGAACAAGTTACCTGTATGAATTTGGGCAAATCACTTCACCTATCTGCCTTAATTTTACTGTCTGTAAAGTGGGGAAAAAGATACTGACCATCCTTTGTAAAGCTTTTTTGAGACAGACTGATGAAAAGTGCTATATTACTATTACCTGCAGTGTGAAATACCCATGCAGACAAACAGCACTTGATGTATAGTAGAACAAGGAATTGGAGGAGAATACTCTCTATAAATTTAAAAAAGACTGAAGTTCTTCCTGTCACAAAGAATATAAACATCTGGGTTTTTTAGGTTCATTGTTGTAGTAGAATTGTGAATCATCTAGACAGTTAATCTTTTGATAGAAGCTTTTTGCTGCAGTTTCATTCTTGTTGGTTTTTACCTCATATGTTTACAAAGGAGGACCCCAATCCTGTAAGTTGTAGGTGTGTGTGTAAGTGTTTGACAATAGCAGTGCTGTTTCTTCCTTGCCTTTAGTTTGTTTTTAATTATCCTGGATTATAATTTGTTTAAGGTAGTATAGACTGTTTTGTGTCCAGAGCAATGGGGCACCAGTTCTGACTGGAGTCTTTAGCACTATGATGGACTGCTAAGATATGTTATACTATCTAGCCACTAGGAGCTTGAAATAATCTCATATCTGGTAGTCATTCTGTTTCAGGTAGAGAAGCCTGACCTGTTTGTAGCAGGTTTGCAGCCTACCATGTATGAGAAGCAAATTGCAGGTTTGAGAAGTAAACTAGTGTCAGAGGATTACAAATATAAGGAACGAAACAACAAAGGTTGCAGTATCTCATGTCTAAGACACTCTTCAATGCCACACAGAGTAAGGATGTTAAGTAATGGTTAACTGACTAGTTGCGTAGTTGATAGAGTTTCCATTGACTACTTGACTAGTTGATAGGCACTTCCCCATTCCTCCTCGCCAGGGCTCTTCTACATTTCAGAGGAGGAATGCGGAAGTCCTGCTGAGTCTGGGCTGCACGTGGTGTGCCAGCTTTGAAGTGTACAAGAGTCCCCAGCCCATTTGAAATGCCACACGGAGCTGGGGTCAGCTGGGGACTTCCCAGCTGATCCTGGGTTCCGTGGAAATGCCGTGCTAGAGCTTGGGATCAGCTGGGGAGTCCCTAGCAGACTCCGTGCTCCACGCGTGGCAGTGCTGCACAGCTGATCCCGGACTCAGATGTGTGCTGCTGCTGCTTTGAAGAATCCCCTTTTCTTCCCCCCCCCCTTTGCTGCCTCTTTCTGATAGAGGCAGCAGAGGGGGGGAGGAATCGACTAGTGGACTGACTAGTCCTTAGCATCCATGTAACAGAGCTTGTTTTTTGAGAAGCCTTCACTATGGACAGTCTGGAAACAGTATTTTGCAAAATTTCAAATTGCTTGAAATCTCTGTCAAGAAACTGGAGCTATCCAGATAGCTTTTTTAATCTATGTAATGGAGAAGCAGGCAGAGCATATCTTGAAATCCTTTGTGACTGTCTTAAAAATTAAAGATGACCATGAAAGGGTTCTGACTATGTCTAATGTGCACTTTGTACCATCAGAGAAATGTTGTTTATGAAAAAGCATGATTTCACCAGTGATTTCAAAAACTGAAAAATGTGAAAATGTCAGATAGTGTAGTTATTGGGCTAATAGGTAAAAAAAATCTTTTACAACAGCTACAACGGAAGATAGAATTCACGTAACCCTAGCTCCAGCTATCCAGATAATAAAGCACTCTGAATTAATCAAATAGCAGAATAAAAGGTGGGAGCAACTTCAAAAACCTGAAACTAGCCCACAAGATGTAAACAGACCCTTAATGACTAAAAGTGGTCATTATAAAACACTTGATGCAAGGGGAGAGCACTCCCAGGTAGGGATGTAAATGACTAATCGAGTAGTTGGTTCCCCTGCCGCCTCTATCAGAAAGGGGCAGCTGAGGATGGGATACTGGGGGGACCTGGCTTAAAAACTGGTTCCCCCCAGCTCAAGCTCCATGAGAGGGGCCAGCATCGCAGAGGCAGCATTCCACCTTTGAAATGTACAAGAGTCCCCGCTGGGGCTCTTGTACATTTAAAAGGCAGAGCGCTGCTTGGCACGTCCGCCTTTGAAACGTAGCAACAGCCAGAAGGGCTCTTGCTACATTTCAAAGCAGAAGCTCTCTTATCAACTAATCAAATAGTCAATGGAAATTCCATCGACTATTTGATTAGTTTATTAATTTTAACATCCCTACTCCCAGGCTAGAAGGAACACATTCTAGCCTACATGCATAAAGCATAGAAAAAGTCATATTTCAAATTGTACATAGAAACTAATTGGGGGGGGGGGGGTGTTGTTTTTTCTTTTTCCTTTTTTCCTGGGTGGTCAGATGTCCCTTTCTTATGTTTCCTTTAATCTTTTCCATCCATATGTGAAATATTTTTTATGTGAACTGAGGCATGTGCAAATGTGCACCAGTAGCAAAAACAAAAAAACTAGTTGTGTGCACTTTGCTTATCAGCTAGGTGGTGTTTGAATTTCTCCTGAGTGGTCACACAAGAGCAGAGCTTACGGAACACTGGATGGGAGTGAAAGTCATAGAGGAAAAAATCAGGAAACCAGAAGGGGACAGTCTCCCGACAGTGCTCACTGCTCTTCAAAGGCATCTAGAGAGAGTCAGTGGATACCACCCAGAGGAGTTCTGCTTGGAGGCAGAACTGTACAAAGTAAATGGAAATAGGTCCCAGAGTTGCAAAGCAAACCCTTATCCAGAATATTCCACTTGGCATGATGGCAGGCTATCACAGCTAGAGCCACAAGGAGGCTGATAAGGGAAGTTTGTGGGGCCAAGTTGCAGGAAGATAAAGGGAAAAATGCAGCTAGAACCACATTAAGAGGCTCTGAAGGAGCTGGAAGAATCGCTGCAACCTGACAAACTCCACATGGATGCGTGTCTGGGTCTCTGTCTTGCTGCAGAAAGGGCAAGTGTCAGGGGAGTTTGTGAACTGTGCCAGGTACAAGCTAGGGATGTTAAATATTGGTTAATTGAATAGTCAGTTAACCTCATGAATTCTTAGCGGCTAGTCAAATATTCTATAGTTCCCGGGGGTGGGGCTGGGAGCCAGTGCTCTCTGGCCCCACTCCCGAGGAACTCCTTGTCACCACATGCTGCTGTATCTCTATCAGAGGCAGCAGTGCAGGGTGGCAGTAGCTCCTGTCCGGGGTGGGGGGTATTTGAGCTCCCAGACCCGGCGTGAGCTGGAACTGAGCTGGACTGCCTGCCTGCCTGGCTCCTAATACACTTTAAATGCAGAGCCGCAATGGGGGTAGGTCCAGGATCCAGTGCAAGCCATGACTGAGGTGTGCTGCTGGCCAGCCTGCTAAAAAATTTACAGGTAAGGGGTGGGGAATGCGTGTAGTCTATAGCATTAACCTATAGGCGTTTGCTTATCGGTTAATCAACTATACTATTACATCCCTAGTACAAGCCTGTGCTTATGGCTTCATGCAGGAGGCTCCAGCTGATATCCCGCATGGGCCATGGGATCAAAGTGGAGTAAAGACTGGCCCATAAGGGTTCCTTGCCCTCCTTAGGTGGCATCAGGTCCTGCCATTTAGTATTGGGGTGGGAAACGACAGCTTGGAAGTGATCAGTCTGAAGAAGCACAAGCATGTGCAGATGTTTCCTGGGGGTAGTTCAGAGGTGGAGTAACTGGTGTTCAGCGAACTTTGGTTGTGTCTAGGGTGGTCAAGGAGGCTCATGGGGCAGGAGTCCAATGACAAGTTTCAGAAGGCCTGGGGTGAGAGGTACACCCTCCTGCAGGACTGTTCAAGAAAAGCAAAAGAAGCAGGATGCACCACCTAGAGCACATCATGAGACACATGAGGCAAGGCAGCCCCATGCGCTGACTGCCACCTGGTCACTCTGATTGTTGTCCAAGAGGTCTCCTCTGGTACCAGACAGGACCAATCTCCAGTGCCTCCAGCACTTGCACACATAGATAAGGGTTGTGCAGTAAGAAGTCCTCTCTATCGGCAGCTGCTATGGACCTGGTCAGAATCTAGCTTCCAGGTCCTGTGGAGTTCTGGTAAAATATTGGCAGCTCAGAGAGGTCTTACAAACAACCTTTTGGGTGGAGATAAAAGAGCTGCTGGTTACTTTAGAGTCCTTGGAGGAAGGGATGCTAAAGGAATCTCTGGCTTAGAGGTGGAAAGCATGGAATTGGCTATGGATGCAGACCGGGCCCTATTACTATCTTTTTGTTTTGAGAATGTGGTTGGGAGTTTGCAAGTAAATTACTGATGAAGACATACATGTTCTTTTAAAATAAAAAAAGTAAATCTTTAGCACTTTTCCTTTCAGAGAGAGAGCTAAACAAAGGATTTTCTTGTGAAGTTAATTGGGAGAAGGGTTCTTCTCCTTCTGTAGATCTCGAGAAGTCCAGAGGAAAACAGGAAATGCTCCTCCTGATTTTCTTCCAGGCCCGTCTTAGCCAATTTCCATTCCCTGTGAACATCCTGAAGTCAATGGGCATAGTTCTGTTCTGCCTGTCTTAGATCCATGAAGGTGGAACATTGGAGAAAGCAGCAAGTATGGAAGAGTAGGGGCCATGTATCTTCTTCCTGAGGGTTTACTGTTGCAGGAGATGAGACCTTTTAGGGCAGGGGTCTCCAACCTTTTTAAGCACAAGATCCCTTTTTGAATTTAAGGCTAATCTAGGATCTACCTCAAACCCAAACACGCTTGCCTTGCCTCCTTCCCATCGCTTCTCTAAGGTCCCACTCCTGTTCACTCCATCCTCCCTCCTTCATTTCATTTGCTTTTATCAGGCTGGGGGCAGGTGCTTGGGGTGCAGGAAGGGTTCAGGACTGGAGCCTGGGTTCAGAATGCGAGCTCCAGTTGGGCACTGCTTACCACAGATGGCTTCTGGGCGGTGGTGCAGGGGGCTAAAGCAGGCTCACCCCTACCCTGGCCCTGCACCACTCCCAAAGCATCCAGCAAACTCTCTCCATCCCTGCCCCCCTCTGCTCTGTAGCGATGGGGTACAGGGTCAAGGGAGGGGCACTCTCACATCAGCACCCCCTCTTTCTTCTTCCTGTGCCCTGCCCAGCAAACAGAAGGCTCTCTGGGTGAGGGACACCTCCAAGGCAGAGGGCAGGAGCAGCACAACTGTGCTGTGAGGGGCAGATGAAGTGCTGGCACTTGATAGTCTCCTGGCCAAACCTCTCAGGATCACCTGTCAGAGATTCCAAGATCTACCAGTAGATCCTAATCTAGTGGTTGGTGACCACTGTTCTAGGGCATCTGAGAAATTTTAAAACTTTTTGAGCTGATTTTTAGATCCTATTTTGGGACAGGCTATGGAGCTTATGCAAAACCATCAGAGCCTTCTAAGATTCTGGGTGGGGCTTATTATGTGTCCCCAGCATTGCAGGGATGGTACTGGGGTAAGCATTAATGGACCTTATGCAGACAGGATTGGAGTTTTTGATAGGCACTGAATATGCTGCTCAGGTTCAAGGGAAAAGAGTGTTTCTGAGAGAGTAAAGAAGGGAGTCTTCATTCCCTCTTGTAGGCGGAGCAGCCTGGGGAAGGAGGTGATCACTTCTCATACATGGTGGCTAGTAAGCAGTAGGAGCAATTAGGTTATTATTTGTTTTACTGAGTCCCCACGCTGCCTGACATCAGCATTTCCTCCCCTTTTTGGTGGACCTTAGAACCTTCTGGACATTACAAAGCCTACTAAAAAAAGGAGTTATAGTCTTATACTGCTCATAACCTCTGAAGAACTGTGGTCATGATCCTAAGGACTCCTGAAGGGTAGGACTCCCTTTCTGCAGACGTTAAGTCTGAACTATCTGGATACAATATTTAGCCTGAGGCTTCTGGCCTGTAGAATAAAGGAACATTCCTTGCCTCTCTTTGTTCCCCTCCTGTAGACTTCCCTCCTTTTAGCAGGAACAAGGCTTCTTGCACAAAAAATGGAGAAAATTCCTGTACAAGACTTCACAAAGTTAAAACTGTAGACTGATATCTGCGAATGTTGCCTTTTAAGATTATTAAAATTAAGTAAGATTTAATTTAACTGTGGGTTGCCTTTTCTTTCAGGTAATGAAAAACACACTATTCAGATTTCATCTCACGAGGAAGATAGTGAACCAACACTACAAGACATGGCTCTGCTTATTGAACAAGTCACTGGAGTTCCAGTTCCTTTTCAGAAACTGATATGTAAAGGTAGCTAATATTTAAAAATGTTTCTCACAGGTATTCTAGATTCAACATTACATACCAATTTAATGGGGATTAATTTACCTATCTGATCAACATTAATCACATAACTTAATTCTCTTGTCAGTTTTAGAAATGACGGAATAATTTAATATTTTGACATAGTAGATATATGGATGAGATGGGACGGTAAGACCTGGATTTTATTTGAGAAGGCTTTTAGCGGGAAATCAGACTTAAAGTCAGTTTCATACTTACTAAAAATTAAAGCAGAAAATTGTTCCTGTTGCTTTCAGTCTTGTTACCATAACCATCCGCTGTGAACCAAACAAAATCAGTTTCACGTATAGAAAGCAGAATGGCTCATGGGAAGAGTTACTTTGATCATCCAAAATATTGAAAAATAACCACTGCCAAAAATGAAAGACTAAGTGAACATCTATTTTGCAATTCTAATAGTGTAAATGGAAATCTCTAGACAACAAAACAAATGTTTTTCTCTTTACTTTATTGGAGGTGGTACTTTTCATCTAATTCAGCTTAAAGCGTACACAATGTGACACCTCTAAAAAGCATTTTAAAATGTTGGATTTTTTTTTCAAAATGAATGGTTTATTTTAAAAATAATTACTGGATAGTATTAAATATTCATATGTGAAACAACAAAGCATTCTGCACAACGTAAACCCTAAAGCCAAGTTAAAGTATTACTATTAGTTTGTAAGTTGATAAGTAGTTATAAAAGAATAATTGTTTCCTTTTCCCCTAGGAAAATCCCTGAAGGAAATGGAACAGCCATTATCAGCTCTTGGAGTTAAAAATGGTTGTAAAGTCATGCTGATTGGGAAAAGAGTATGTGTCACGTCATGAAGTCTCTTCCGCTGTTGTTCTTATCTCTGTTGATATTCCCGTACAGGAGCTTAATTGCTGCTCATGGTGAATCTGCTCAAAATGAGTGTCAGCACAATGATAAAGAAACAAGTGTTCCAGTTACTTACCTATATAAGTGTGCACTGTACATATGCAATGTATCCATTAAAAAAGTGAGGATATTCATAAGTAACCATTATAAACTGAGGGTATGTCTACACTACCCCGCTATTTCGAACTAGCGGGGTAATGTAGGCATACCGCAATTGCAAATGAAGCCCGGGATTTGAATTTCCCGGGCTTCATTTGCATAAGCCGGGCGCCGCCATTTTTAAATCCCGGCTGGTTCGAACCCCGTGCCGCGCTAGGAAGCCTAGTTCGAACTACGTAGTTCGTGCCGCATGTAGCCGCGCGGCACGGGGTTCGAACCAGCCGGGATTTAAAAATGGCGGCGCCCGGCTTATGCAAATGAAGCCCGGGAAATTCAAATCCCGGGCTTCATTTGCAATTGCGGTATGTCTACATTACCCTCCTATTTCGAAATAGGAGGGTAGTGTAGACATACCCTGAGAGAGCTTATTTGATTGAATACTGAAAGTTGGCAAGTTGTTGATGCTGAATCTGATAATAAAAGTTGAAAGCATTAGTTTTTACATTATATGTTATCCCATTATCATTTAATTCAGATAGGTTTATGACATGACTGATTTTAAGGTAAATGGTTTATTTTGTCATTTTTTAAAAACTACCCAGAATAGTCCAGAGGAAGAGGTGGAATTAAAGAAATTAAAAGATTTGGAGAAGTCAGTGGAGCAAATTGCTAACAAATTAGAGGAAGTTAATAAAGAGTTCACAGGCATACAAAAGGTAATATTTTTTCTTGTCCTTACATTTCATATATTTGTATATTATACAGTCCTTGCAACACAGAGAGAGATAGGAATCTCACAAAGTTTTGAGGATTTCCTAAAATACCTTTAAGCTTATGTTTCCTGTACTTTGGGCAAAAGTTGGCAAAATAAGAACATGAATGAGTTAATTCTCAAAATGGTGTGTGGATTTAGTTGCAAGATTTCTGTAAACAATTTGGAGAATCCTGTGACTTCTTGAACTGCATGGGAAAAAAATAATAACCCAACTAATATTTGGTCAGCTTGCTGCTTCATAAAAGCTGTGGTAGCTGTGCTATTGTTAACGTTTAGGGTCATTGATTTGCTTGTTTTGATGTGGGATGTTTATTTGGTAGGACACATAGGATGCGTCTGCACTGCACTTTAGCTCGAAAAAAGCTACACAATTTGAGCTACACAAATTGTATAACTTATTTTGAGTATATTTCAAAATAGCTTATTTTGTAATAACTTTGAAATAAATCACTATTCCGAAATGATCCTTAATCCTTGTGGGATGAGGTTTACAGGGATGTCAGAATAGCTATTTTGAGATACCAGAAGTATCCCAAAATAGTGCTGCAGTGTAGATGTACCCATAGAGAACTACAATAATATTTGATAAGGGAGAATGAAAGGTAGACTGCATTTGGGGCCCTCTGGTTTTCCTTTTATTTTAAAAAGGATTACTCTTCTTAAATTCCAAGTTTTTTTCTTCTAATGCTAAAATAATTCAAGCATCTAAATGAAAATGTTTGCACCAGAATTTCTTTAATTCATATTTAAATGGCAGTATGTACATTCTTTGGAAAATGGAGTAATTGTTTTCCTTCCCATACAGGGCTTTCTGGCAAAAGATCTTCAAGCTGAAGCTCTTAACCACCTGGACAAGAGGGTAAAAGGAACTGTTGAGCAGTTTATGAAGATCCTGGAACAGATAGATTCCATTGTGAGTAGAGTCATACAAAGGGGTTGTATATTCCTTTCACAAGTTTTTGGTTCTTGCCTTTTTTAAAGGACAGTTTGTTCGCCATATGATATTTTAAAAAACTAACAGCAAATTAATTTTGGTTAGTTTGAAAAACAAGTTAATTTGTTTGTTCACTATATCTTCAATACTCAGTTCTTTTCCTTGTATGTCTTCAATGACGTCTTCATTGTGATGTCCATGGCAGCTCCAGTTTCTAAATGGTGACACTAATGTCTAGGTATGCATCCTCATAATGCAGAAACACACCATATCGGGCTGTGGCCTCCTATGTCCACATGAGATGGTTATCGTTTACTTAAGTTCCACCCTTTTTCATTTGTTCTGGTAAAGCACAAAGAGCTCAGTGGCGGGGAGGGATAGCTGAGTGGTTTGAGCATTGGCCTACTAAATCTAGGGTTGTGAGTTCAATCCTTGAGTGGGCTATTTAGGGATCTGGGGCAAATCTGTCAGAGATGGTACTTGGTCCTGCCATGAGGGCAGGGGACTAGTTTCAATGACCTCTCAAGGTCCCTTCTAGTTCTATGAGATAGGTATATCTCTATATATTACATGGAAATATGTTACAGTAACATTAAAGATCTCATAAAAACCAGGAAGACATCGTCCTTTTAATGCTTGTTTTGGGGACAGGGAAAGCACAGACAAGGGCAAGTCTTCTGGTTAGTCAAACATAGATATATAATTTTTTATTTAAGACATTTGCAAACTGAGAACTGGATTGATTTTTTTTGGAAGGTATCAAGGCATATGTACAGCCCTCATAGCTGCATTATCTGTGTATCACACAGCCATTTATGGATTTTTATCCTCTCAGCATCCCTGTAAGGTAGGAAGTAGTAAACTTTCTAATGTACAGATGGGGAACGGAAATGGAGGGTATAGAAAGTGACTAGCCCAGGGTTACACTATCGCTGAGCTGGGAATTGGACACAGGTCTCTTCAGTCCCAGTCCAATCCTTTATCCACAAGATCATGCTATGTGGAAGAATTCCTTTCCCTCATATAACTGTATTGCATACCATACCTGTTTTCATCTAGTGTTTTTTTTTTTTTTTTTGCAATAGTAATAACTTAGGCCCCAATCCAGTAGATGAATTTCACAAGGCGGGCTGTTACACTCACACAGAACCCCATCTATTTCAACTAGGGATGTTAGATATCTTGTAATTGAATAGTCGCTAGGGGCGGCGGCCAGTGTGCTCTAGCTTCCAGGGAGCTCCCTGCCACCCCATGCTGCTGCCTCTGTATCAGCAGCATGGAGTGACAGGTGGGAGTTGGTGTGTGAGGGGAGCCAGTTTAAAAAACAGCTCCTTATGCAGACCGGCTGCCTGATACAGAGGCAGCAGTATAGGGTGGCAGCAGCCCCTGTCCACAGGGGTTCGAGCTCCCTGCAGACAGAGGCTGGTCTGCAGCAGCAGCCCTTGTCCATGGGGAGCTCAGAGCCACCACAGACAGAGGCTGCTGCCATGGACCAGCCTCTGCCTGTGGCAAACCTGGGCTTCTGCAGAGGATGCAATTATGCAAATGAAGCATGGGAAATTCAAATTTCAATTTCGATATGTCTAATTTACATCCTTCTTTCGAAAGAGGGGTGTAGTTTAGATGTACCCATAGTGTGCTAAGCATTGCACTAAGACAAAACAAGGCACAGTTCCTGACTCAAAAGTTAACTCTAGACTTGATTGGTGCCCCGAACCCTACTTTTTTATAATGGTCTCTGGCTTACTTTTCAACTCCTATAGTAAATGAAAATGCAGTTTGAGAGAGCTCATTAGGCTAGGGCTAAAAAGAATTATTCCTCCCCTCTTCATGTGGCCTACTACCATGAAAGGCTAACCACTTGAAAGTCCGAAGGGGAGGTCTGGTTTCAGCACATTTCAGATTCAAGTCCTGTTTTCTTATGATGTTATATGTGATTGTTATTACCACTTAAATATCAATAAAAGTCCTGAAGCTTCAGGTGGTAGCCGAGTTAGTCTGTCACAGAAAAAAACAGCAAATGGTCTGGTAGCACTTTATAGACTAACAAAACGTGGATGGTATCATGAGCTTGACTGGCTAGCTGAAGAAGTGGGCTGTGCCCACAAAAGCACATGATACCATCTATATGTTTTGTTAGTCTATAAAGTGCTACCAGACCATTTGTTGTTTTTTTCAATAAAAGTTCTGTTTGTCTGCTCCCTCAAAAGTTACAAAGTATTTAAAAATGGTTAAAACAAACTCAGCTAGTGTATCGGATTTCATGAGCAGGGAAGCAGAAGCACTGTAAATGAAAAAAGGGATGTCCAACAGGAAACTTATGCCAGAAAACATCCATTTACATTTGTTAATTCCTGTAAATAAGCTTTAGAGAAGACCAGACAAGTACAGGCAGTCCCCGGGTTACGTACAAGATAGGGACTGTAGGTTTGTTCTTAAGTTGAATTTGTATGTAAGTCGGAACTGGTACATATTGTAGGGGAAACTCTAGCCAAGCATTTCTCCAGAGGTCAGTTTTATTCTCCCACACCTCACTTCCCTCAGTCCTTTATTCTCAAGCTGAGGTGTCTGCTGAGAGAAGCCGTTCTGCGTCTCCCTGGTCTGCTGGGAGGGGGCGCTAGCTTCCCGTCTCCCTGGTCTGCTGGGGGGAAGCAGCTAGTGCGGGGTTGCCTCACCACGTTTGTAAGTAGGGATCCGATGTAAGTCGGATCCATGTAACCCGGGGACTGCCTGTAGCTTTAAATGGACATGCAGTTATCAGGGTGCCTCTTAAAAGGATTCCACTATGTAGCTGAATGTTATCTACAGCTTTTTCCTTATGTTTTGTATATTGATTTCAAGATGAGCCAACATCAAATTGTTCATTTGTTTACTGCAGAATCTTCCAGAGAATTTCAGTGACTGCAAACTGAAAAAAAAAGGATTGGTGAAAAAGGTTCAGGTGAGTCTTTCATTAAGTAATTGTTGGGTACTTGCATAGCAGCAGTTTTGTGATCTTCTAAAATGAAATGCTTGGGGTTAGATCCCAGGAGATCCTTTAGATTTCTAGGCTTTTGGCTGATCTGATAGGAATGGATTAATCAAGCCTCTCTAAGAGCAGTAATACAACCAACATTTTATAAACTGATACAAAAAGGAATGGGGTTACGTAGTTTATGTTGCTGTCAAATTGTGATAGTGATTGGTGTGTATGGCTGTATAATGATGTGGAATCTCTGACTACCAGCTAGAAAAAACAGTTTTCACTTTAGCTGTCTTGCATCTGTATGGGATAGAGAAATGAAAGTGCACAACTGGAATCTGTGTATGTCATAAAAATAGCACTGTGGTAGACTAGTAAAAAAAGCTATCAGTTTGTATAAGACAAAATTTAGGATATTCATGTTTTTTCTTTCATATAATATTTACTTGGCTATAAAGTGAGCACCTTTACCTCAAGAATGAAAGCTGTGTTAGAGAAAAAATATTCTAGGTACAATACTTTTTTTGTTCATATTGTGTGTTGCTTAACACATTTATTCCCAGATAACACTTCTTTCAATGTTCAAGCATAATGGAGTTCTCTTATTTGATGATAGAATCTTAACTCCTCCAGAAAAAAATTGCATATGTAAATAGTGATACTGCTTCTGTTTTTAATTGTACTACAAGAGCATCAATCACAGACTGTACAATACCTACCAGAATGGGACTCCAGACATGACCTAAAGAAACCCAAACCTGACCCTAAAGAACTTAAAACTTAGTAAACAGGTGGATAAAAAAAACAGATAGGGAAACTTAATTCTGTCCAAATAAAGAAATATTCTGTAGTCCAACCAGTGCTAATACAGGTTCTCCACCTGCAAGGCCAGTCGACTGTGTCTGCTGTGGGACAAGTCTGAGTAAGCAGCCTGTCATCTCTGGTAATACTGCAAAATTAGAGCAGCTACAATGCAGCAAGTAAGAAAACTAAAAGCTTTTACTAATCAATCAGTGATAATTATGAATATGGCTTTAAAAACTTCTGGCAGGTCACTCTTTTCTTAATGTATACACATTTTATGAAGAGTTTTATTCCTTATAGAAGAAACTCTAAGGCCTCAATTCTGGAAGCTGTTCCATACAACCATACCCCATTGCTCAAGTGAATGGGGCTTTGTACAGGCACAGGGATATTGCATGTGCTTGGAGTTGCAGGATCAGACTGTAAACTCTCTGGAGTAGAGATCAGGATTATCCATATAGGCCTATCACAGTTGGTTCTCAATTTGATTGACATCTGATTGCTACTGTAATATTTATAATACAACATTGAAAAGTATCCACTTTAATTGCTAAAATTAGTCATTTAAATCTGATACAAATAGAGTGAAATTAAGTTAAGTACTACAAGGCAGACAAGTTTTTCCACATCGCCCCGTCACAGGCTCCTACAGAGGCGGGGATGGGGGGTAAGAGCAGGTGAGTCAGTGTGAGCCAAATACGCACAGGGAGCTGGCTTGAAAGTTGGCTCCTCACGCTTATTGGCTCCAACCTACCCCCGTCACGCTCGGTGCTGCTGCCTCTATCAGAGGCAGAAGTGTGTGGGTGGGCGAGAAGGCACCGGCCCCTACACACTTCTTCCCCCACCCCACCCCCCGCCTCTGATACAGAGGCAGCAAGGGGCTGTGTGGAAATATGTGTAGTCGACAAGATTAACCAATAACCCCAGGCTTACCGGTTAATTGTGTAGTTGTCTACACAATGACATCCCTAGTGCAAATCGTGACTATTACATGTTTTGCTTCTGTAACACGGTTTGCTATTTGATTACAAGAGCTTATTTGAAGTAGGTATTGGTTGTATGTATGACAATTGTGATTGCGAGTCATTAACAGGGAGCAATGTTCCCTCTAATTTTTCCCATGCATGTGGAATGAATTTTTTTATGTGCACCAATATGGAGGTGATGTGTGATAGCTCCATAATAAGGCTCCAGCTGGGGGTGCAGGCTGTGGAGTGGAGCCAGGGATGAAGAGCTCTAGGCTGGGATGGAGGGTTGAGGTGCAGAGATATGAGAGCTCGGGCTAAGGACAGAGAGTTGGGGTACAAGAGATTGAACGCTCCAGCTGGGGGTGCAGGCTGTGTGGTGGGACCAAGGATTAGAGGTTTGGGTGCAGGTTACTCTGGGGCTACAGTGAGGAGAGAGGAACTGCCCTCAGCTCTCTGCTTGCAGCAGCACCTGGGCTGGGGGAAGAGGCATTTCTCCTGCCAAGGCAGCTCTGGGCCTGGGCCGGGGCTGGGTTCAGGGCAAGGGTGTGGCTTTGAACAAGGCAGGTCCAGGTTTCTCACAGGCTGAATTTGTTCCAGGAGAAGGGTTCTTTTCTCCCAGCCACAGCATATCCAGGATGGGTCTGGGTTCAGGCTGGGGGAGGGGTGTCTTAACAGTACTGCCCTTGCACTGGGAGATGTAAGATTTATAGTAGGAGCGGGGGATCTAAGGCCCGGAAGCTGGATCTGGCCCCAAAGGCTCGAAGCTACCTCCCACAGCATTAGGGAGCCCGCATGGTGCTCCAACTCCCCTGCCATCCTCCTGCAGGGCTGGAGCATACAAAATCTACTAGCCTGAGCCCTCCAAGGCTCTGGTGTACCAGGGGAATATGGGAAGTGTCATTCTCCTTCTCAGTCGGGGACCACATCAGACAGGGTAGTTTTTTGTTGTTTTTTTTTGTTTCTCATTTGTGTGCAGCCCCCAACTGATTTTCCTGTGGGTCAGTGGCCCCCAACCCAAAAAGTTCTCCACCTCTGATTTATAGGTTTAGTGAAGATTGCTTAGTTTGGTTTGGTACAGCTTTAAGTGGACTTTGCAGTATTGGTGTTAGACATGTTATATACATGAGAAAATAGGAAAGGGGATTATAGTTAACAAAAAGCAGGTCACCACTTGTCCGAGCGTGTTCTCTTCCCCTCCCCCCCCCCAATTGCTGATTGGTGATGCTAAATACTGTTGATCTGTTGGCACTGCTGTTTTCATTGAGCTGATAAATTAGATTTCTACTGGGGAATGAATGAATGAAGGGAATTTTCTGTTCACTTAAGTTCTAGCAAAAGTTGTGACCATTGCAGAAGCCAGAAGAAACTGGAGTTGACTTTACTTCCAACTTCATAATAGGAACATTCCAATTAAAAAAAATATTGGGAAACAGTTTGTCATTCTAGAGTAATTTGCACTCTTAACTTTTTGTGTGTGTTAATTTTATTCTCAGGCTTTTCTTGCCCAGTGTGATACTGTTGAAGGAAGTATTGGTCAAGAAATGGATAAGCTACAATCAAAGAACTTGGCTCTGGCAGAATGAGGCATCACTCTTGATAAATAGGAGAAATAATTGCTCTGTGAGCAAGAAGAGGAGTTTGCTCTTTGTTTTGGAGCACATATTCAGCTATTTGGTGGTTTTTTTTTAAGCCCAGTCTGTTTAGACTGGTACTAGTCACTCATTACTTGCTGGTTGTCACATTTACCACTCATTCAAAGCTATTCTTTTCAAAAGAAAACAATCCTTCCTGAAGAAAAAAAGTCTTTGTGATGGGTGGTGATGCATGTTTTAGTTAACTAAATACTGTAGCACATTATACAGTTCCAAGAGGTGGGCAAGTTTGGATCATTATATTCTTTTTACAAAGACATTTTTTTAAATTAAGTTTTTCTCAATTCTTATCTTTTCCATTATGTCTTCACAATTATTTGCAGCTCAAGAAGTTTGAAAACCGTACAAGAGCATATGTTGCAGTTGTAGGACTTTAACTTGACTGAAAAAGCAGGTTTATACAATAGTTGGGACATCTAGCATTCGAATAGAACATTTAGAGCAATAAATAGTATCCTGCATCTGTACCAGTTTAATACTTGTATGTGTTCATAAGCATAGGAAAACTTGACTACAGTGGAGGTTGTAACTATTTTAGCCTTAAACTATCAAAATAAATGGAATGTACTGTAACATGTATGGTACTTAATTTAACTGTTTAATTTTCAGTGAATGCATTGGCACTTTTTTCTTGATACGTATTTTGTTATACTGTGTACACAGCGTGTATTTGTTTTCTGTAGTATACTTTTCCTTTGAGTAATGGTGTGAAATGCAACTGGATAATTCATGTTGCTTATATAAGAAGTGGGCAGTCCAATCAAGCTCTGAAAATGGTGCTATTTTATCAGAGTATTTTTGACTGTTTCACTGATTTGCTGTATTTTAGAGAAAATTGCAAGTAATTATCTCTGTTCCCTTTGGAGTTAGTGGATGAATATTTATTAATCTAATGTCTATTATAAAGTAAAATTGTATAACAATTTTTTAAAAATATTCTGCCACTGATAGCATCTCTTTAACAAGAGTTGCCATTTCACTGCTATTTCTACTTGGAAGTCCTGTGTGACATGTGGCAGTTTGTGACCAAGAAAGCATTTATCAACAAGCACTTGATCTGGTGGCAAACAAGCTCCCTTAACTCTCACTGGATTCTGTGAAAGTTAAGGGTGTTCTGCATTGCTTGCCAGATGAGAGCATGAGAATCTCTGAGTTTTACGACTGTTTTAAGGTAAGTTCTCTTTACCAGAAAAAAAAATTAAAATATAAGCATTGAACATATTTCAGTTATGTTAAATAATTCCTAATAAAATAAGATCTCAAAATAGTGATAGTCCTCCAATATTTCTCATACAGTCATAATCAGAGGAAAATTGTTAGTGTCACAATCTGTTAGCAGATGGGCAATATGGCACTTCTGTATCTTTTTAACAGTTAGTAGTTTGTTATAAAGTTTTTTAAAATGTTATATTATACCAAATATAATTAGATGAAGTGAACATATTTTTCAGTTACATTGCATTTTTCTGTTAAATTGCAGTATTCCTTTAAGGTTTTATCAGTTTACCATAGTACACTCACTTATGATAGTCTGTAAAATCTGCAGTAGACTGAAACTTGACGGATAAGCTCTTGATTTGAAATGAATGTATTTTGTTTTTCATTACTAATCTTTAGAAAGCTGTTTTTAAGATAGGAAGTAATTATATTTTCTGGTTACTGTGATAGCATTCAGGGCTAGCAGTATGGTCATGCTGCCATATTTGCTTGGGACTGCAATGCTATGGAGAGGAGCAGACCTGTATTCATTTCAGTGATGCTCCGATTCAGTATAGCCAGTGTTGCTTCTGGGACAGATCCTGCTACCATTGAAATCAATGGCAAAACTACCAATGAATTCAGTGGGTGCAGGATCAAACTCTTTTATCAAGTGAGGAATTAGTCCTCACCTGCTCTAAACATAATCATGATTTTAATTTAGTAAACTTTTAGGGGTTCATGTAATAGAGATCGATTTCCCTTTTTGAGCAGAACTGGGCTGGGCAGGGTTAGATATAAATGCTGTTCCTTAGTAGTTCTTCATCCTTGGGATGTAAGTGACTAGTTGACTGATAAGCAAATGCTTATCCGATAGTTGACTCAACTAGTCACTCCCCCCCATTAGAGACAGGCAGCAAGGAGGGAGAGAGGGAAGCAGAATCTGGTGCTGTGCGGAGCCGGCTTAAAAGCCATTTCCCCCCAACACTGTCTCTGTGAGGAAAAGGGGAGGGGATGCAATGGGGAACTAGCAGCACTTCTGCATTTGAAACATAGCAAGATCAGAAGCACTGTGGGGAGCCTGGGGCAAGCTGGGGACTCACAGTCCCCTGCTGGCCTGTTCTCCCTGCTTTTGAAATGTACAAGAGCCCCAGGAGGTGCATGCCAAAACTAACAACATTCTTTGAGCTACAGAACCTCAGAATTATAGAATCTCTTGCTCCTAAACGTCTGAGTAACTTAAAATATCAAACTTTTAGTGGTGTTCTTTATGACCCAACTTCTGCTGCTAGTATAGTGGTGTTAATCTGTAATAATTCTTTTGACTTCATTGGAGTTATTCTCAATTTGCATTGGCCCATGGGACAGTACAGAATTTGGCTGGATATTTTTATTTCAGTTATTGAGCTACAGTAAATGAAGGAGGGAAATAAAATTAAATATGGAAAATACAATAAATGTTTGTTTTTGTGATTATTGTGATATAGTACAGAACTCATGCTGATTAATCTATTGACTGTTGATTCTGTACTTAAATGTATAGCAACTTCATTCTATGTAATTTTTAGAGCAGTGTTTCTCAACCTTTTTTATAAAGTACCACTTTAAAAAAATTATAGGGACCCCCAGTACCTATAGTTTTCAGACACACTTTTTTTTCTACCATTGTTTAAACAACTTAATCATAGCCTGGCAGGTGATGAAATTTTTGGGTGTAAAAAGTACAAAAGTAATAAAGTGCTGTAAAACTTTACAAAACAAAAATTCAGTTTTCTCCAAATTTCAGTTGTGTTGATGTACCCCCAAGACTTCTCTTATACCACTAGTTGAGAAACACCATTTTAGAGAATCTACTTGTAACGGAGTTGTTCTACTTCTTATGAATAGGATACCTTGGCACATCTCTTCCTATAACGATGTAAGTAATTAAGAATGTTTCACTTACTGAGGCTGGCATGAACAATGGAAGATATAGACAAGTGCTTGCCAAACTCTATTTTCACACAAAACCAAACAATAATAAAAGGAGAAAGCAGTGATAGATTTAAGGCCCAGTATCCTCTTGATTAGCTACTGGGGAGGGGATGGTCAGATGTATAGGAAAGTTAGTGATATCTATAAAAATGTGTACAACCTCTCCCCAAGGCCGTAACGTGATCTGTTCGTAACTCGGACCCCATTGAGTTACATAGTGACCACGCTGTTTGCAAGCACAGGTTGTGTTCTGACTCAGGGACCGCCTTTATGACTAAAACTTCCATGGAGCAGTCGTAAACGTGAACAGTCGTAACTTGACCGTTTGCAACTTGGGGACCGGCTGTACTTATAGTTTAGGCTTCTCACAGAGCATTCAAAACAATTTCAGGCTGTTAAAGCCTGGCCAGGGGGCTCTATCAGTGTTGTAACCTAACTCCTCTAAACAAGACGATGCTTTGAATTCAGGCAAAGTGCTGAATTTTAAAAAAGTGTGGGTGGGGGGTGACGATGGGTTTGCATAGTGAACTGCTAAGGAAACCCGTCCTGTGGGCTTCCCAAAATCTTCATCTGCAGCTTTCTAACAGAACCACGTGTGCTGCTGAGCGGCCGGGCAGGAAGCCTGTCTCTGACGTGACCACCCTGACTTGCGTGAAGCTGCGACAACAAAGCCAGTGACACACGGAACCAGCTCCAGTGTTTGCACCACGGAGACACCAGCTAATGCTCTGCCCTGGACAAGGGCTCAGGGCGGGGCAAGACGAGTGGCTCAAGGGGGGGAGAGACGCCCCCGCTGCCTCCCTTCTGCTTTCCCACAGCGGCTGCGTTTAGCGTTGGGGGCGGGGCGCTCTCAGGACAGTAGCCCCGCCACGTGCAGCGCGTCTTGGGCAACGGACGCAGGCTCCCGCCGGCACAGGCCCATAGCAACCCCGCGTCTAGCTTCGCCCTTCCCCTAGCACGCAAGACCGGGGGAAGAGGCGGGACTTGGTGTGTCTCCCCCTTCCGCCGGAAGTGGCTGCGTCGCCGGAGGCAGTTCCGGGCCAAGATGGCGTCGGGCTCGGGGGGGGAGCTGGTACAGCAGGACGGGCTGCGGCGGCCCA